CTCCCCACCCTGTTTCTATCCACTACTCGCTCCCACTACTGTTTCGCGCTTAAAGGTTGTATGGAGGATTTTTTTTGGTTTCAAATTGTCAATGATAGCATTATAGAGATGCAGTAGCCTTGTAATTATGATGACCAAAAAAAGAGAATAAAAATTCATCAACTCTGGACATGGTGGGGCCAGCTAAACATTCGCCAATAGATAACGACACTGCCTCGTTATCTGTTAGCTGACAGGCTGTCAATCAATCTCCCTACGTTTCTAGCGTAACTGACTTGCGTGCGTGCCGCCGGTACGTGGTTTACATACGCCTGTCACGCAGTCCACAGACGCAAGCCGCACAGACGCTGTTTACTCCACCAACGCAACAGTTCTTAGCTGCTTTTTTTGACCTATATCTTCCTCGCAGTTAGCACAAAGTTTGTTGCAATGGCACACAAGAATCCAGGAGCAGTTAGCCGCAAAAGAAAGTCCGTTTTTGAGATTGCTGAAAGAAGAAGACAAGGGGAAAAGCAGCGAAGCCAAACTAAGGTGATTCTTGAAGATTCATTCCAGCGATGGCGCAACTGAAGCAGACGCAGGGTCTAAAGACTGACTCATTGGTCTCCAAATTACTCCTGGACAGGTCACTTCTGCTTATTATGAAAACGTACTTTATTTCCAAGAGCTAGTCAAACGTTTTTCAGGACACGAAAGCGATATCCTATGTCTGAAAACGTAATTTTCAATGCAAAGAAAGAGTCCGCTTGCTGCTGCGTGTTGTAGCTAGTTCATTCGCACTGAATCTCCGCGCAACCTTCTCTGCACCCCTTTCCTGCTCCTCTCCCAAGCTGCCCGATCCGCTCTTCCCCCTGCTCCTCACTTCTCCGGGCACGGAATCTCCGCGCACCGCTCCCCTCTCCCCTCTCCTCTCTCCTCTCTCCTCTCCCTGCTCCGCTCTTCTCCCTGCTCCTTACTTTTCGTCCGCGCACGAAATGTCCGCGCACCCGCTCCCCCCGCTGCTCACTTCTCCGCCTTGCCTAACCAACACTGTAGTTAGTTGTTTACAAGTCATGTGCAGTGCACTGGCTGTAAACACGCATGCGCAACATTTGAAAAAGGACAAACAGTCGCTGGATTTCTCGTTCCTTGGAAAATCCTCTATACAACCTTTAAGGACAATTCAAACCCTCGGTTAAAAATTCTGGACTTCCACTCTCACTACTACCCTGTGGAAAGCGAGATAGTGACTGTGTACTGCTATTTCAGACAATGTGTTGGAGTAAAAATCACTGGACTGTACTGTTAATTCTTCTATATGGTTACACATTCATTATAAGGAAACTTATAAATGTACCGTAATATTACTGGTATCAAGCTTGATTCCCAAATCTGCAGAATTGTAAATATTGTTTTTTGTTATTCACTATAATCACTGTAAATGCATGGCACCAGCCACTAAATCATAATTTTCGACTCCGTATTATTCTGTCACGCACCTCCCAGAGCCGATACCTGCTTCTTCTGACCTAGCCTACAATAAACTTCATTTCTTTTGGCAAGCATCAGCATATATGCTACACACGAATTTCCCAAATACGCACGGATTTCTATTTTATGCGCACAAATATTTTTGACAGCTTTCTTACTCCATAGTGTGTAGACAAGGAGGCAGTGGCAGGCACAATACTCTGAAAGACAGAATAACCATCTTCTGAAATGCAATTCTTGTATTAAGATGAGAGTAAATTCCCTTAGCCGTCCTGTTAGAAGGCAAAGGTGAAATTAATTTGTCAAGTGGACAATTTTTATAATTATTATATTATTATTATTTGTGGTTGAATATTAAGCCCACGCTGTCTGCACTAATGATTATGCTAATATGACTCCCCACTTAGTGCAGTTCAATAGACCTGACTGCAAAACTAAAAGTAACAACAACAACTCATCTCTTAATTTAATAATATTTCATAATATTTAGGCAGCACATCTCTGCAGTAAAGCCGAATTGTTTTCTTGCTGTTTCAAGAGTTTTATCACTATATTTTTAAGTCTGCCTGTGATGTGTGTGGGGACTGGTCCGGTTTATACACATATACTAGTAGATATGTGCACGCAGGGGTCTGAATGGTCAAAGGAGGGAGCTATGAGCACGTGCGAGAGAGTCAGATGCCCTCCCCGGGAGAGCGAAAGAAGCGTGGGAGAGATACGTGGATCAGTGGCCAAGGGATGAGCACTTCGGCAGGTAGAACACAGATTTGGCATGTAACACATTAGACACATCAGGCACTGTTATTCTGCCAGTAAAAGTCCAAACGAAACATCCAACCTCTGCTCACCTCTGTGTGCACGGGGCTGGGTCAGGACAGCACTGGCATTGTGTTCTTCATACTGTCCGAGAGCAAGCTCTCATTTTCAAGAGCTCCCCGTTACATAAAAATGTAGGAAGTATTTTGAGAAACACAAACATGAAGTGTTGAAGTTGTGTTTAGTCCCAGCACTTTATTAAACCAAAGCCTGGCTTCTGTGCTCCATCCAAGGGAAAGTTTTCTCTCAGGTCAGGTCATTGTTGTCCTCCCAACACAGAGAAGGCAGACGCAGCACAGACAAATTGGCCGCGCTCGTGCACAAGTTTCTCATGTTTAATATTACTGAGAATGAGTGAAATAAACAGCCCCTCTCTGTGTTTTGTCTAACCTCTGCTTAAATGCACAAAACTTAATGTAATTATTTTATATATGTGGATTTTCTGATGATTCCCCTGATCAAACACTTCCTCAAGCTCTCTTCAGTTCTGCTTCTCTCCACGTTTCTTAATCTGTACCAGAGTTACACTGTACAGTCCCTGACAAAAGTCTTGTCGCTTATCCATTATGTAGAAACAAAAGCTTATAACCTGACTTTAAATGAATCGATTGGTTTTAGAAATGTCTCATATGAAACCTAAAACCCTCCCAAATTATGCTCAGTATACTAAAATAAATTTGCTTCACTGAAGAAAGATTGATAATTTAATGAACACAGAAAGGTCAGATTTTGGCAAGACAAAAGTTTTGTTGCCTACAGAAAATTGAACAAATAATTTACTTCAAATACAAAAATATTTTGCATAACGTCAGTGAATTAAGTAGTGGTGCTGTGAGATCCATATTTAATATCTTGTATGACTTCCATGAGCTTGAAGGACTGCATCCATGCGGTTCGACAATGAGTCATACAATTTGTTGATGAAGTCATCAGGAATAGCAAAGAAAGCAGTCTTACATGCCTCCCAGAGTTCATCAAGATTCTTTGGTTTTGCCTTCCATGCTTCCTCTTTCATTCTACCCCAGACATGCTCAATGATGTTCATGTCTGGTGACTGGGCTGGCCAGTCCTGGAGCACCTTGATCTTCTTCGCCTTGAGAAACATGGATGTAGAGATAGAAGTATGCGATGGAGCACCATCCTGCTGCAAAATTTGACCCCTTTTATGGTTGGAAATGTAAGGGGTAGCTAATACTTCTTGATATTTTAGGCTATTGATATTGCCTTCCACCCTGCAAATGTCTCGCACACCCCCATACTGGATGTAACCCCAGACCATGATTTTTCCGCCACTAAACTTAACTGTTTTCTGGGTGAATCTTGGATCCATGCGGGCTCCAGTAGGTCTCCTGCAATATTTGCGGCGGCTGTGATGTAATTCAACCAAGGATTCATCTGAGAAATCCACCTTCTGCCACTTTTCCAGTGTCCATCCTTTTAGCAGGCTGTGGGCCTTGGCAAATGCCACACGTTTTTTTAATTGCCTTTTGTTTAGTGCTGGTTTCTGTGCACTGATTCGACCATGGAGGCCATTTCGAGACAGAATTCTACAAACTGTTGTGGTTGACACAGGGACTTGAGGTGACCAGGCCTGGTGGAGCTCTGCTGCAGTGGAAAAGGGGCTGGCCTTGGATTTTTGAATCAACAAACGGTCCTCCCGAGCAGTTGTCTTGTGGCATCTGCCGGACCTGGGCTTGTCAAAAACATCTCCAGTCATTTCAGATCTTTTTCTTATTCTTTGTACTTGACGCTGAGACACATTGAAGGTGTCAGCCACCTCAGCAGTGGATCTGGTCTTCAGTCTCTTGATAATTAACGCTTTGGTCTCAGGGTGGATCTTAGGCATGTTGTCAGAGGTCAAGTTGCAGTTGATGTGAAGGTCTGGTGTGCTGGGGTTCTTTTTATACACACCCACTAATTGACTGATCAGTAACTGATCACAGGTGAGGCTGTAATCTAGGATTGGGTGCATCATATGACAAGGTGACAAAACTCTTGTCTTGCCAAAATCTGACCTTTCTGTGTTCATTAAATGATCAATCTTTCTTCAGTGAAGCAAATTTATTTTAATATATTGAGCATAATTTGGGAGGGTTTTAGCTTTCATATGAGACATTTCTAAAACCAATCGATTATTTTAAAGTCAGGTTATAAGCTTTTGTTTCTACAAAATGGATAAGCGACAAGACTTTTGTCAGGGACTGTATTTGAATGGGGTTTATTACAGAATCAGAAAAGGTTTTATTGCCGTTGTCATTGAAGAGCATTCACATCTAGGAATTTGCTTCAGTGTTATGGTGCAACATAAAACTATGAAAAATAATATAAACTATAATCTAATAAAATAAGGGCATGCATTTAAAAAATCAACTTAATATACAGTATGGGCAGAACAGCAGTGCAGTGCAAAACTTTTAGTGCAAGTAGATTAATTATGGTTGAAATAAGTTGTGTAAAGTAACATCAGCTGGTGTTATAGAGTGTTCATGAGTCCATTGGCAGAAGGAAGAAACTGTTCTTGTGTGAGAGGTTCTGTAGCCTCCTGGTTAAGTAGAGGGGCTCACGTAGTCCGGGATGAGTAGGTGAGACTCAGTTGTGATCTGGCCTGCTCACTCCGAGTCCTTTAATTACCAAGCACTTTCCTTCATCCTGGCCTTGTGTCATTTTTCCAGATGTAAAAGTCTATTAAAAGAACATTTGTTTGTGGTTTGCAGATGCTCCCAGCACAGAGCAGCAGGAGCTGTTCCAGCAGAAGCTCCAGCAGTGCTGTGTCCTGTTTGACTTCTTTGACTCGGTCACAGATCTGAAGAGCAAAGAAATCAAGAGAGCTGCACTGAATGAGCTGGTGGACTATGTGTCCACCAACAGGGGTGTGCTGGTGGAGGCCACCTACCCCGAGATCATCAACATGGTGAGTACAGTGACGTCATATAGTCAGTCTGTGTCAGTCTGTATAGAGCGTCTTTGTGTGTTTAAAATCTCTTTTATCATAATGTCCTAAGCTGGCCAACTTTTTGGCTTCGGTTGCCACTGAAAAGTTGTTCCTATGTACTCACACGCAAACTGACGGATCGCCCCCAAAGCCGGGATAGCCAGCAAGTGGGAAGAGGCAGAATGAGTGTGGACAGTGTCACGGTGAAGCAGCTGTCAATCACCTGTGCTGTGAGCTGGGGTAGTTACGACTAGTCAATGAGCACAGTAGGACAGCATCTTTTTTTTTTTTAAGTTTTGCTACCTCAAAATTCCACCTTGTGCCATCAAGGAACTCTTTTGCCGACCATTACAGCAAACTGTAGGAATGGCTGTTAAGTTAAGTGATTAAGTGATCTTTGAGCAGTAGGAGTTAAAGCAGAACTATGTTTTTACCTCATTAAACAGTGATGTAACAGTGATGTAAGTTCCTGTGATGATTAAATATGCCTTATTTACGTGGTTGCCATGGTTGTGCTTCACTGCTCTTATGGCTGACTGGCTGGCCCACTGAACACAATTGTAACTTTTTCAATTTTTCTTTTAAATTTTTAACTTAACATTTTGGGATTTTGACCAACTAAGAAATGGAGCTTGTGCAGGACGTTTGTCCTGATGGCGGTTACTCTCCTCAGACTGCTCTACAGATCTAACTAGATCTGATGACAGTGCAGCCCTCTGTTCAGAGTTCACCTCCTGGTTACCCCCTGAGCCACTGTCACTCTTATCTTCTGTGCTATCTTTTGTCTTCATTATTGTCCTTGTCTCCACAGATCTGCACCAACATCTTCCGGACTCTTCCTCCAAGTGAGAACCCAGATTTTGACCCTGAGGAGGACGAGCCCACCCTGGAGGCGTCCTGGCCACACATGCAAGTACGTACTGCTCCGTGACCCCGCTCACACCATCTGAGCTCCTAGTAATACATGGCATTTGTTTTTCCTTCTTAGCTGGTGTACGAGTTCCTCCTACGTTTCCTGGAGAATCCTGATTTCCAGCCCAGCATTGCCAAGCGCTACATCGACCAAAGATTTGTTCTACAGGTATATTTTAGAAAAGACATTCAAACACAGGAGGTTTGGACAATTAAAATCTAACTTGGTTACAAACTGTAAACTGTAAAGAGGACAGAGGGTTACATTTACTCAGTAACATTTAAGTAGCAGCTGAGTAAAAGTTGTGGTTACTCTTAATGTTGAAATATTAAATGATTAGGTTCACACCACAGACTGTATAAAGAAGTGGCATAAAGAAGTGGCATAAACAAGTGTGATGTCAGCCATAGTGTTCGGCTCCCCTCAAATGAAGCTCACAATCTTAGCGGTTACAGGAGCGAATGCCAGGGTCCACATTAGGAATACTATTAGGAATAGATTTTTTAAACGGACAATATAGTGAAATAAAAACACCAGAATCATATAGAGCGGGTTAATACGAACCAGATGTGCTCACATGCAAACTTCCTGTTTGGAACACAGTGGCTAAAGCATTAGTTGTCTATATATACAGTCTGTGGTTCAGACTCACCTTTGCTTTCTGCTCTTCCTCTGTCTGGCCAATGCTGGCACTCAGAGTCAGGTTGTCCAAATTACAAACTGGGATTTAAATGTGTTGTCTGTCCCATTAGATTAAGTTTAAAGCCACAGTATGTACCTTGTTTCATTTTGGTTGTGTGTGTCTTTTATTTGACCTGCTTGTCTGCATAGCGATGCTGGTCCTTTGGCTATAATGTTCCATGGAAGGGCATAAAACATAAAACATGGAGAATGTTCCTGAAGTATGGTTTTAACTTTGTATTTCCACGGAATCACACAGGTGACGTAAAGGAAGTTACATACTGTAGCTTTAAATTACAAATAAAATTTAACATCTGTTCTCAGTAAAGTAGTATGTTCACCACTTTATTCTATTTGAGTAGTTATTTTCATTTTAGGACACTACATTTTACTTCTACTTGAATATTTTACTCTGGTATTCTGCCTCTGTCATCTGTGCCTGTGGAACTGGTTTATCTTACCTGATTTGTACTGGAACAGCTGAGTTCCTCATGCCAGCCACAGAATGCTGAATACTTTTTTTCATTGTGACAGTGGACATATTTTCAATACCACAGTCTGTATTTTGTATTAGTACTACACAATGGCATGTCTGTCACTGTTGCATCATGTCTCCAGCTTCCTGTGTAGAAACGGGTGTGGTGTTACTGCGCTTGACACATGGGTTATTGATATAGCACATTGTCAAAATACTACCTAATGTACTGTAGCTTTACAGAGAATACAAAATGTAAGTATTTACTTACAGTGAAATAAAGAAGGGAGAGCCGCTGATGTGACTGGGAGATCCTTTTATTGGTTTTCCATAGTGCAATGCTGGTTCAGTTTAGTGGTTGATGTGCAGACACTCCTCTCAGTCTACTGCAAATGGTGTTTTGAAAATATTTAATGAATGAATTGTGGATAGTGTTGGGCCTATTGTGTAGTTTGGCATATTTTGATATTGTCTTTTTGTAGAAAAATGTTCCACCTTTGACCTTTCAGTGTGGTCCAGCACTGGTTGGTCAGTAGCTGTGGCCAATAAGGTTCCAAAGAGATACTTATTGATGTCTGTCTGTGTCTGTCTGTGTGTGTCTGTCTGTATCTGTCTGTGTGTCTGTGTCAGTCTCTGTGTCTGTGCGTGTGTGTGTGTCTGTCTGTATCTGTCTGTCTGTATTTGTGTCTGTCAGTGTGACTGTGTGTCTGTGTCTGTCTGTGTGTCTGTTGTCTGTCTCTGTCTGTGTCTGTCTGTCTGTCTGTCTGTGTCTGTTTATTTCTGTCTGTGTGTGTCTGTCTCTGTCTGTCTGTGTCTGTCTGTGTCAGTCATTTAAACGGGTATACATATAATAAAAGTAGATACATATATAAGAGATATGCATTTTATAACATTTGGATTAGTTTGACAGTGGTTATAAGATTGCATGGTGAAATTAAAATGTCTTATCAAAATTGGTATAAATGATGTTTTTCTTCAAAATGTGAGAATCTTCAGGCATTCCAGCAAGCACTATTTAAAGGACATTTATTTTTTGAAGTTTTAAATAGAGGGGGTTATGCCAAATTCTACCATGTTATAATGTTGTTCCTTGTTCCTCTCCCGTGTTATATTGTTGTTTAGATGTCATCTGTGCATGCTTGAGTATTTTGGCGATATCTCCCAGGCCCTATTCAAACCCTCCTTATGGTTAGCTGTTAGATTCTGTGCAATGCTGAGCCCACAAGCCTACGTCATCTGTGCTTCTGAAAAAACAAAACTGTTGTTTTTTCGGTGAATATAGCTTTTCCAAAACGGTAAAAGTTAACATGGTAATCTAAATATGGTTGTATCTATGTGTTAATACCCCATAGAAGTAAAATATCCCCTCTTTAAACATGTTATCATAACTAAAACACACTTGGAGTTGTATTTTGCTTCATTCACACTGTGATTTATCCTGTTTGCGAGGTTGTCTTGTCTGAGCGCTCAGTTATCACTTAGCAATTTTCCCCAGATTGTTACATCACAGATTAGAAACCCGCAGTTTTTAATAAACCATCACCAGGTTCATTAGGTGACACTGACAAAATGTTGTCTAATTTACACAATAATTTAACATGTAACAAATATATTACAGCACCTTTTATATTTTGTATTAATAATGAAAACGGCCAGACAGTCCAAAATGTTTTGTGCATAAATTGTTCTTGTGTTTTAGATGGAATTTTGCTTATTGATGATATAAATAGAGCTCAGCACTCCTACTATCTTCAACTTTTCTTCACAATCTACAACTTGACTGATGTAAACACACAGACATAAATATTTACCACATACTATCCCGTCAATCCAAATCATATTTAATTAGAAAAAAACTAGTATAACCCTGACTCTGCTTTTACTGCTGCACATGTTTTCAAAGTGTGGCAGACGTTCCTGAGGCCTGTGACATGTTCAGTATGTGCCAGAACAGGCCTGTCCCAGAGAAACACGGCTCCTCCACACAGCTCCACAATGTGTTCATTGGCCCCGTCCTCTCACCCCAGCCCCAATCAGCAGGAAATCTATTGAAATGAGATGAGATGGAATTAAACACCGACTTACATTCATTTCCTAGAGATGGATCCTAACCTTAAAGCACTCATATTATACTACTATTTCCTGATCTGTGTTTTAGTGGTTTATTTCATTCACACATGTTTAACACACAAACCAATGCATATTTAGAGTTCTTCTCCCAAACAGAAAACACTACACCATACCTCCCGCAGAAGGCTACAGGAAGTATTTGAAACATGTAAAGCAGGAAAGTAAACACTTCTGTCTGACAAAAGAATTGCTAATTCTAATGTAAAATTGAAGACAGAGCAAAGCTCACAAGAGTCAGTTTGTGCAATATAGGACTTATTTGCTTAACCTTAACATAAACCCTAAACTTAAACCCTAAACCATATTTTAGCCCCACTTTTTTGATCTTTAGATCATGTTGTTCAAATAATTAAAAGGATTTGAGACACAAGTCCTAAAGCTGGTGTCCTGCTTTCACTGTGCTCCCTGCCTCTAGCCTGTGTCTGTCTGCTGCAGCTGGGGGCTGACCCCACACAGTGACCAGAGGACCCCCCCTGCTTTGGGCTGCTGCAGAGGATATTGACCTTTTCTCTGGGGCTAAATGAATGAATGCCGTTTCATAACTAACACCAAGACGTCTCTAATTGCTGTGACAGTAAAGTGGTTTGAGGGAGAGCTGCTGTAGCCTTTCTGCAGTATCTGCACTACTTGTGATGATCATTACACACTGAGTGTGTATACATGCACATCAGTATCCCGGTTATTAGCCATATCCCGGTTATGGTAGTGTTCGGGATACTGTGTATACATGCACGCTGAGAAACCGAGATACTCATATTTGTGTATACATAATCAAATGGAAAATCCAGTTTTTTTTTACATAATCTTACAAATGCGCAAGCGCAAAAATTTACCTGATTTAAGTTAATAAACCAGGAAAAATACAAACAGGAAGCTCGGGAGGTTATTTTAATAGATTCATGGGTTCTAACCAGCGGTACAGAGTTATGAGGTATCCCACAATCCACTGCACAGATCAAACCCAATGTGTAGTTTTTTATTTAAATATTCTGCATAAATAAACTCAGCTTTATAACATATGAACCATATGAGCTGTTGTAGTGGTGAAAAGACTGGAAAGTGTTTGTCTTTTGAACGCAGGCGCACTCAACTTTATGTTGCAGTAACCGGGATACTGCGTATACATGCCACAGTATCCCGGTTACTATCTGAAAATACCAGCTACAGTAACCCAGTTTCTAATAACCGGGATGCTGAAACGGTATACATGCACTATGACAAAACCAGGATACTCAAAAAACCCCGTCATAACAGGGATACTGATGTGCATGTGTACGCACTCAATGTTGTCCCACCATCACCAAGAAAACGTCATAGGCTTCTCTCATTATCAGACCACGTAGCCAGAAGGGTCAATACAGCAGAAACATTTAAACATTTAATGTTTAAAACATGTTTATTTGAGGAAATATTTTATTTGAATTGACTAAAATTAGTCTCTAAGTTATATAAGGCTGTAACAAAGTTTCATTTTTGAGTATTTGAACTTGTTCTTGCTCTTCCACATCTACTATAGCTGTTTTTTTTTTCCTAAACCTCCTTCAAAGCCAGATCTCATCTGATCTCAGAAGCCCAGCAGGGCTGGGCCTGGTTAGTACAAAACTGTCATTCTGTCCTTGGGTGAGTGTTTGTTATGGTCAGAGGGGCCAGTGGCACATGTTGGCAGCCTCCGTCAGTCTGTCTTAGGGCAGCTGGGGTACAATAGCAGCTTACCACCTCCAACTGTAGTGTGAATAAATAATGAACCAAATCGTAAAGTGAGTTTGCGCGTTTGGAAAAGTGCTGTATAGGACCAATGTATTATTGTTGATAATAAAAGCCTGATCACAGTTTGGGTTGTGGCTTGTTTCAGTTGTTGGAGTCGTTCGACAGTGAAGACCCCAGAGAGAGGGACTTCTTGAAGACCATTCTGCACCGCATCTACGGCAAATTCCTGGGTCTGCGTGCTTTTATACGCAAGCAGATCAACAATATATTCCTCCGGTGAGTCAAACTCTTTCTTCTGCATTTTTTTTTAATGCATTTTTTTGTGTTCATCTCAATAACTGAATAGGATAAAGTATTTCAGTAAAACAATCACTCTTTCAGTCACAATCACAGAGAGAAAGTGTTCAAAAACATTCAGGAGGGAGCAATGTGCTTCTGGCCTTTCCCATGTATTTTAGCAAAATGTGTCTTGCCCCAGCACAGATTCATTGTGTAAGCTGCACTTAGGGTCAGCACAAGTGTACTGCGTGTTGTCTGCATTTAACGAGGAAGTGCACAGTTGACATGCTTGTTGTTGTTGGCATTACAGTGGCACGAAAAGTCTTTTTCTAGTCTGAAAGTTGTGAAAAGCCCTTATAAACTAATCATGGTGAATCATTAGGAGAATACACATAGGTCGATTTGAGTTTTCATGTTTTTTTATGACAGTATAAATCCAGTACAGTGCCTTTTAATTATGTCTGCAATTGAGTGTGTTAATGTTATGCATTATTGTAGTGTACTTATAAGCCTGATTTAACCACAATGTTTGCCCCAGAATCCCCTTTCCTCCTCCTGGGTACAGCAGAGCAGACAGATGGAGCTCATCATTTCAGGTGTCGAGTGCTCCTGCAGCCTACTCCCACCTGTGCCATCTGTCTCTGAGGGAGCAGGGCTCCTGCCCTCCGGCTCCTGTGAGAGGAGGGGAGGTGGAGGAAAGGTGCAGAAGAGGAGAGATCTAGATGAGGAGGAGAGGTGCAGATGAGTAGATATGCAGAGAAGATGTGTAGAGGAGTTGAGGTGCAGAGAAGGAGATGTTATTCTCTCCGCCATGATGTGATGATTTTTTTTTTCTTTCTTTTTTTCCTGCAGGTTCATCTATGAGTCTGAGCGCTTTAATGGTGTTGCTGAACTACTTGAAATCCTTGGCAGGTAAGCTTTATGACTGAATTATTGATATATTTATTTACACAGTGCATTCAAGGCACATTAGACTAACCAGTTAGGGCCATTCAAACAACTTCAGTTTGTTTTGACAGACTTCAAGAGACTTCAAGAACCCTTGTGTAATAGACAGCTCAAATAGTCTTACATAATATATTTAAAGTGCATATGGCCAGTTAGACTACTCATTTCACTAAAACATACTTATCATGATTTGACATGTAAGCTAAGAGACAACAATAATGTTTCCCTATTACAGAATAGTTATCATTAGATTAATACAAAGAAATGACAACACTTTGTGCTAAATGAAGGTTTAAACTGTCAGAAAATACTGTTCTTCCATGTAAATTGTATCTGCTTTTTGGATGGAATGTGTGTGTGTGACAGTATCATCAATGGCTTCGCTCTGCCGCTGAAGGCTGAGCACAAACAGTTCCTGATGAAGGTGCTGATCCCTCTGCACACGGCCAAAGCTCTGGTCCTGTTTCACGCACAGGTACACACTAAACATAGATCTAATATATTATGTCTTCATATAGTTTTCCACACCATTTTACTTTTAATTGAAATACTGGTTTGAGATCAGAGACTAGTGGTAGACTGAGGGAGTGTGATGTCACACATAGCGTTGGTTGCTGCTAAAGAAAGCCAATCAAAGCAGCAGTTATAGTGGTTAATCTGCAACCAGAGCAACCACTAGATTTGGAAATCTGGGAGCACAACTGAACAGCCATTTGCGGTTGTTGAAGGCACTCTTCCATTCTCACTTGCACCACTGGTTTGGCAGAAGAGGGCACTTTGCAACAGGTTTGAAGAAAATGTGATTTTGTCCATTATTATTGTTCATATCCTGATTCATGGCCAAAATAGAGAAATTAAAAACACCGGGATCACGTAGAGTGGGTTAAAGCCAACAATTTAAGACCTAAAAAAATGACAGCAGCAGTAACAGAGAAAGGGGTGATGATTTTCAATAGAAAGTGGCATGTGTAGTTGTATATACTGTCTATGTTTGTAACAGGGCCCTGAAAGCCAGATCTTAAAAGCTGTATCTCAGTAGATAAATAAACCATTAGACTTTCAGGCTCAGTTGTGAGTGTAAAATTAAAGGTTGACTTGTGACTTTTTTTCTTCCATTCATTATTACAAAGCAAGAATCAAGTAGACTCCAAGCAGAGGTGGGTAGAGTAGCCAAAAATTTTACTCAAGTTAGGGCATTGTTATATCAAAATAATTTTACAAATGTTGGAACTTGGAACACAAAGCAGTGGTCCAAGAAATTATTCTACTGAGAATAACTGCCAAGATGTAACATCAGATTTATAATTTAAAGTTAATGTAATTGGAAGAAAAACATTAAATAATGCACAAACTCTGCCATTTTCAAAGGGTAGACACAAAAATTAGGAAAACTAAATCATTTCTGAAGGAGCTCTGCAAGAAACACAAATGTTCAAATCATGTCATATTGTCACCATAAAGCTTTTGTCACATGTACTGTTCATAGTGGGAAGAGGAACCAAAACTTTTATTCAAGAGTATTGCTACTTCAAACTAAATATTACTATAGGAGTCAAAATTTTCCACCAGAATAGCACTCTGAGAAGTACAATTTCAGTGCGTACATTTATTCAGTGAAATGCATGTGTGTATATAGAATTAGGACTAGTATTGCTGCTAAAATGAATCAGCCTTTCCTCTTGTCTCTGTAGCTGGCTTACTGCGTCGTCCAATTCCTGGAGAAGGATCCTACACTCACTGAACCGGTATTTGTATTTTTGTCTTTTGGCACAGTACCGTTTCTGAACACCCTGTGGCATCAACTGCTCATCAAACTAAATTAATCCACTTAAAACACCTACTAACTGTTATGTCTTGCCATTTTAGTTTATAATTATGGTATAATAACTTGCATTTCTGCACTTTTTTTAGGTTATTCGTGGGTTGCTGAAGTTTTGGCCGAAGACTTGTAGCCAGAAAGAGGTACTTTTTTTAAGGATGAAGAAATTAGTATAGTGTTTTTTTTCTAATTGTTGACATTGTGATGTAGGTGATGTTTCTGGGTGAAATTGAAGAGATTCTGGATGTCATTGAGCCAACGCAGTTCAAGAAGATCCAGGAGCCACTGTTCAAGCAGATAGCCAAATGTGTGGCCAACCCACATTTTCAGGTGTGCTAACACAGCTGGAAAATATTCTTAAGAGGATTTCTGAAATGCATGTAAATGAGGAACTTTGATTGGAGGGATTGTGATTTCATTCTCCTACATAAACACAACTAGAGAACTTCGTATGTAGTCTGATGCATGCAGTGCACCCAGACAACGAGAGGCCTTCAACTGCACTGGGCAAGAAATAGCCAGGAAAATATTACACATGTGTTTAGACAGGTTGCCCCACATGCTTGGTGGTGGTAGTGGTGGTAGTGGTGGTAGTAGTGGTAGTGGTAGTGGTAGTAGTAGTAGTAGTGGTAGTAGTAGTAGTGGTAGTAGTAGTAGTGATAGTGGTAGTAGTTGTAGTAGTAGTGATAGTGGTAGTAGTTGTAGTAGTGGTGGTAGTAGTTGTGGTGGTAGTAGTAGTGGTAGTAGTTGTAGTGGTAGTAGTAGTGGTGGTAGTAGCAGTAGTAGTAGCAGTAGTAGTATTGTTGCGTATTGGAAGATTGTGTCTGTCTGGTGACTTCCATTTCTGTGAAGTTATTTTAAAGCATATTCACTTTTTTGATGAATAGGTTGGGTTCATGTGACTTCTTAACATTTTAAACTGGACTTAAATTCAAAAATTTAAGTGAAGGACTGTTCAGAATTCTATGATGGAATTAGACTAATTAGTATTTGTGTGATACTTTTGCCTGTTCACATGAAAGAAAAACCCTAACCCTTTTATAACGCAGTTGTTAAAGCTACAAGAATACATTACAAATGTGTGTTCTCAAAATGATCGATGATTCGACGTAGATTTTTGATTCTGAAATTATGACATCACTTTGTAGAATGACATGAACACAACTTATCTTTTCTGGAAAAGGTGGGTACTGCCAATAAATTCATGTGCTGAACTATGATATATAACCAGACCTTGTTAGAGCATTGGCAACACAAAAAACCTTCCAAATCTGGTACACATCTGGTCAACTGGTTCTTTAGACAGTCAACTCATGTGTTCCTGAAATGGCCTAGTGCCTGTATCTCTTCTACTGTCTCATTTCATGGTCACAAAACTGGCCATCAACACTGGCAATATTTAACACAAAGGCTATGAGGTGGCATCATTGTGATATCCTCCAAAAACAAAAGCTTTTTACATTTGAAAAATGTTGTACATTTTAGCATCTGGCCTCTCTCAAACGTGAGACTGTGTCAGTGGGGACTGTGTAGTTCCAAAGTTCCAAAACATCTTTTGTATAGTGCTGCTTCAACACTACCCTACCCTATACTATGTGTGTAATCCTTCAGTCGTCCTGGTAGGTTCATGTTGGTCCGTGTGTGTACTAGTCTATGTGCTCTTCTACTTGTTCTGATACAGCTCAACATCATTCTAAAGACATTCAGGAAAGGCTCAATCTTATCCTCGGGGTGACTTTTGTAGTACCAATAACCCTACCAGTTTATACATCCTACTTTAGCTGATTTCAAATTTTCTTAAAGCCTCCTATGGACAGGTGTTGGAAGTTAATGTTTTTTGTTATATTATTTGAAAGTATGCATCTGGCTCATCTAGTGTAATTTCTATGTCTATATTAAATAAATAAATGAAATGTTTGCCGCAGGTAGCAGAGAGGGCGCTCTACTTCTGGAACAACGAGTACATTTTGAGCCTCATCGAGGAAAACATTGATAAGATCCTGCCCATCATGTTCGGCAGTCTGTACAGGATCTCCAAGGAGCACTGGAACCCGTGAGTGCTCAAACCATTAGGGGTGGGGAATATATCAGTTCGAGAATATCGAACTGATATATTCTGATATATTAACGGTATCAGCCAATAGCGATACAGATTATTTGATACTGATATCAGTCTACATCAATACCTGATACTGATATAAAATATAAAAATTTTTTTTTCACTGCCCCATTTTCTGAGTGCCCTTTTTTGAACAGATTAATGAATTTTAACCATTTTAACCATTACATGGCTGTATGTTTAAGAAATTATGTTATATCCAAGTTCAATACATTTTAATTACATTAAAGGTTTGAAAAGCAAAATATCTGTAAATATTGATTATGGATCCCAGCAGCAGGCCAAATATCAGATATCTGTATCAGCTCAAAAAATGCCTTTTAACCCATCCCTACAAACGGTGTCTTAATTTGCCTTAAGATATTGCCTTTGTGCATTTAACAGTAATATTTTTATTAAAGTAACCGTACTCTTCCCACTGCTTTATTTTGACAATCTGAAATCATTTGAACATTTGTTTCTTGGACAATTTCCTTCCTTCATGTTATGTCCTCCCAGTAACATTAAAAGTGCACTGTGCAACATTTCTAGTGGAGGATCCGCCATCAGCTTCTCTCCGTGGAAATGTTATTGCTTTGTCTAGAATATTCCACAGTATAAACTAAACCTACCTATCACTAAGGAGACAAGCAGGTTACAGCACTACTCTACATCACAGTTCAGATCTGTGGAGAGTCGCCCCTGTTCACAGAAGGAATGAATGTCATTTTGAACAACAGAAACACCCTTAATGAATAAATGCTAGATGAATATGTTTAATGTCATACTATGGAACATTCCAGGCTGAGCAATAACATCTCCATGGAGACAAGCAGGTAGCAGACCCTCCACCAGAAAAGTTGCGCAGTGCACCTTGTAACTTTAACGTACTTGAGTAGCACTTTTCTAAATATTTTACTTCTACACGAGTATTTTTTGGACCACTACTTTACACTTCTACTTTAGTAATATTATTTTCAAATAATGTTATTCTTACACGAGTACAATTTTTAGCTATTTGTATTGTCATAACAGTGTGACAATGCACTGATTGAATTACATTTCTTTTTTAATCCAATTAATTTAGAGCTGGGTTATAAGTCTGTTTATCTACTATAAAATGAAATGATTACAGTTCACCAATGCTAGCATAAGCTGTTGGCATTACCATGGCAACAGCTGTATCTAAGCCTGCAAGCCTGTTTGTGTGTTGGCAGGACCATCGTGGCTCTGGTCTACAATGTTCTGAAGACACTGATGGAGATGAACGGGCCTCTGTTTGATGAGCTCACAACGTCTTACAAAACCGACCGACAGAGGTGTTCTATTTTTGTCCTGTATTACACAAAATTTGCTCTTGTGAACTTTAAGCCATGTTATAATGTTGTTACATCCTCAAAAACATATTTTGTTGTTTTGTTTTATTCACACATGTTTGAAGAACACTTTATTATTAGTCTGTCTACATCTCCAAAGCTCAAAAAGCTCTGGTCCACCTTGTGATGTCATGTAGAACAGTTTTCACAGCTCCTTTTACCTTTAGTTCAGAAGAGATTGGCAATTTCAGGGCTGAGATCATCCAAATGAGTCTAATGAAGGTGTATGGAGTTTAAAATCACAGTGGAGCTCTTCTTATATGACCACATGACATGACAAGGTGGTGTTTTCTGCTTGAAAGAGGAATTCAGCGTAAATATGCAAGGTTTTTATGTTAAATATGTACTCATTTTGTAAATTCCCTAGTTAGTTCAGTAACAGTTTATTTACATCAGACATTCCTAGGCAGCTCAGGGGTCCTTGGGAACCCCATGGTACCCCTCTCCTCCCCGGTTGTCCCCTCTCCTCCCCGGTTGTAAGTCTAGTCATCATGTTTGTCGGAGAGGTGTTTTTTTGTGTGTACTGGTCCCATATGATTATATCATGTCTAGGGGTTGTTTTTTTCTCCTCATGTTATGCTGAACTGTTTTCTGTCTTCTGCCTGTCTTCCTGGTCCGATCCATGTCTAGCTCCCGACCCCCACCCCCACCCATGTCATGTTGTATTGTGTGTTTGTGTTGCATGGGGTTGAAAGGTCCAGTTTAAAGCTCTGCAAATCTATTCCTGTTTCCTCTTTCACTCTCTGACCAGAGTACTGTTAGGATGAAGTGTCAGAGTACATCACAGTCTACAGTCCTAGCTATTTACAATATTGGTCCTTCGAGACGGATTACGTATATTTACGTGTATTTCAGTGTAGACTGGCAAAAAACATTCAGAGAAACACATTTTGACGAACAGCACACCACACGATTGGGAGAGCAAGAGGCCTCTATGTTCTTACGTGCCCCCATTCAAATGATCACAACAAAAAATATACAAAACAGCACTAATAATAATATTTTGGCCCACGTTATCTTTACCGATTCATTTTGACAGGATAAATTACAAATGATAATCTGTTATTAATAGGTTATAACGTCCTCATCAAAAACATACCCTGCATATTTAGGCTGAGTTATTCCCTCAAACAGAAAATACTCATGTTGTGATGTCATGTGGTAATACAGGAAGTGCTCCACTGTGTTTTAAAACTCCATTTGCCTTCACTTGAATTTAGATCATTTCAGTCCTGGAATTTCTGATCTCGACTAAACAAATGGTAAAAGGTTCTAGTAGCTGTTAACTTGCAAACTACCTGTATGACATCACAAGGTGGAATAGAGCTTTTAGAGCTTTGGAGATGTAGACAGATTAGTAATAAAGTGTTATTCAAGCATGTGTGAATGAAACAAAACACATCTCTGGGCATGTTTTAACAGCATAACAGGTAAGAGCATTGTAACATGGCTTGAATACAAAAGCTAAGGACTTGTGCTGTCATGACAGTAAGAAGATGCTAGTGCTGATGCTCATGTTGTTTTCAGGGAGAAGAAAAGGGAGCAGGAGAGAGACGAGTTGTGGAGGAGACTGGATGCACTCAGACTGAACCACTGCGGTCCCAATAACAACTACGGCTTGCAGAGCACCCACAACCTCAACAACAATAACAACAACAACAACAACAGTCACCACGGCAATGCCACAAATCACTCCACCAGTAACACTCAGAGCAGCAGCGGTCAGACCAATGAGCCAGGTGTATATGAACACAAACCAGAGTGTGAGGAGAGCAGTGACCCCCATGACCCCAGCGACCCCAGCGACCTCAGTGCCAAATGACAGTAAAGACATGTAAGGTGTGAGGGTAGGAGAGGTTCTGTCCGCACTAATGTTTTGGGATTGTCCAGGCTCAACCTTACAGGTAGTTAAGGAATGATGACACTGCCACAAAGGGCCATGATATCAAGTGTGTTTGAGGATTAAACAGTATTTTGATGTTTGAAAACTGCACTGCTTAAAAACTCTTATTTTCCATGGGATAAAGCAGGTTTTTAAAGGGCCTGTACCCAAATTGTTTCCTATGTATTTGAGCAAAATATGTATTGCCCCAGTCCAGATATATTGTATAAACAGCTCTTGATGTAAAAATAAATCTACTGTGTGCTGTCTGCATCAAATTATAAAGCATTTTATTGTTCAATAATTAGCAAGTGTGCCTTAGCATGCTAGTTATTAACCGTGACAGCAAAATCACTCTGGTCTCTAAACTTATCACAGAAAAGAATTAGGATGCTCTGAATACAGAAGGTAAGTGAGGAAGAAGTCTGGACGACTGGAAACTGTTTAAAATGAACTAGTTTGAACTAGTTTGAATCTTAAACCTTTTCTACCATGGGGCCCAGCTTTTTGTGTACATAGTAACCTAGGGCCCGTGTGCATATTAAAAACATGGGATTATTTTCAAGGCTCCAGCTCTATAGTTAAGAGTCCGTGGGCTGGAGTCTTGGATGGTTAGACAGCAGGGCTGTGGTTGTTTTCTGCTCAGGTCAGTGAAAAAGTATTTTCTGAGCTCATGGACAGATCATGAACAAGAGGGCAGGTATCTAAACAAAACATTTGTGTGGACAGCCTTTGTAAATGCCAGCACACGCAGTTATGTATTTAGTATATCTGGATGTCGCTGTTTTCAAACAGGATGGTCTATTTCAAAATGTATTGTTTCACCTGAGATTATTTCCTGATTGTGGCAGTGTAACATAAGTGTAACTCATAAGGACTTGAACTTTTGGAGACTTTTCACTTCTTTTAAAGAGCTGATCTTTTTAAACCTACTGTTTGTAAATATGTTGCCCTTAAGGGTGAAGGGCCAAAAGGACCAGAGACAAAGTCATTGTATCAAAGTGTGCCAAACTAATAGCAATGCAACCAAAAAGCAGACAACCCATGTTTTTTTGTCAAAATCATAGTTCCATATGGCAAATACATGACTGTGTTTAAAAATTCTGTTTATAATTTTTTAATCAAATGGGTTGTGGGTACATGAGCTGTTTAATTCAATAGTTCACAGGGGTAGTGCTCAAAAGGAAATGCAGAGACTTTTTGGTTGCACCACTATTATTTAGCTCACTTCCGTGTTCAATAGTAAATCAAGTATTAATTATTCCAGACTTAAAAATGTATACTGTATGTTTCGATACCTAGATAGCCATAGCTCAGTCAGTTGAAAGTTGATTCTCAGACTCAACTGGAGAACAAACAGTAGCCTTATTTAGTCACTGCACTTGTTCATGAGCAGACCTTCTGTAAGTATGAATGCACTTTTGTTTTCTGCCAAAGTACTTTCTTGTGATGAAATGTGAATGAGTCTGGTTTGAGAGTTCCCTTTCTGTAGACTGAACTCTCTGGGCTCTTAAAGCACAGAAGAGTTAGAGCCGTACATGTGTGAGGCCTTACCCAGAGCAGAACATTGTGCAGCAGGGCCGCACCTGCTGTAAGAGCTCTCCCAAAGCCCTGCTACCATCACCCTGTCCCAGGAGCTAACACTAGCGCCTGTGGACTCTCATGGTGTGTCAGTGGGACGGATCCTTGTGTGCTATATACAAATCTATTTTTGTCTAAAAGCAAACTAGACTAATTACTATTTTTTGAAATATAAATAGTATAACTGTATATTTGAACCTGTTTTTGGCTGAAGGGGTGCAGGGTCTGTGTGTATATTTTGGTGTGAATATGTGTAAAGCTATTTTAAAGGGAATCTCCTTTTTCACTTTCCCATTTTAATGTATTATTTTATTATTTTCTTGATAATAATTGAGAGAAACAGTGTAGTTGAGGGCTTACCACTTCATGTGTACCAAGATCATGTGTAAAACAGATTGAATTGGGTGTAACTCTTGTGATAACATACAGTGAACATGTAGGCTGTGGACAGAATCTTCCGGTGTCATAAGGGCTGGTGGCTGGTTGTGGTATCAGGATCGTTTAGATTGTTTAGAATCCAGAGCAGCTGATAGCTGATAAGCTCTGCCCATACTTTTGGACCGATAGATATATATGGCTGATTTATGCAATTTTCTCTTATCTCTGTGCTGGAGATTTAAAGCCCATAGCTGATATGTTAAAAGAGCAAATATCGATCAAACGACTTTTCAGCCAACCAAAATATGGGTCTATCTCTACAGTGAATACAGGCTTACATTGTCAGGAACAGTTTTTGAACTGAAGGTTGTATAATCCATTCAGATCTTTGGCGTGACCAGATATCAAACTTAGAATTCAGCATGATTTTATTATTTATACAGAATTCAGAATTCTAGGCTGTAAAATAAAATGCAGAGTTATGAATTCTGTCTAAACAATATCACAACAATTCCCTTTTCTTTCAGTGCGGTTTTCCTTTGACTCTGGAGACACAAACGTACGTCAGAATCATACCTCTTGGTTGTGGAGGTGACATGTTGCTCTTGTCTGCCTCTCCACAGCCACCCAGTCAGAAAGAGTCTGGAGGACTGCTCTAGTCTCCCGTGGTGGGACATTCTAGGATGCTGGTTCTGTTCCATGTGATGTCTTTGTCAGTCCATTCCAGTGTGTCTGTGGGACCTGTTTTGTATCTGCAGATTGTAAACCTAATAAACATTGGATTTAAAGGGCTTGTGTTACTCATTGTTTATTAAGGAACTGTATGTAGCCTGCACTCTTTACTGTTTTAAATGAGGTATTACTATCACACCTGAAGCTGGGTTGTGTTTTAGCCTGCAGATAGACGACACATTCAAGTTTTCTCCTTTTAGCCGTCTTAAGGCTACGGAAAGTAAACAAACTCCTGTCCAAATTATAATAAACAATTTGATCGTCAAGTCCAATGTTTTTGTAATTAAGAATAGTGTTATAGCTTTTCCTGATAACAATTCTATTTGATTTGAACATGTTTACCTGCATCTGGGGACACACTTGGAACTAATACTAATAACACTAATGGAAGTTTAAATCAAAATTGTACATATAGTTCCTTTAACCCTTTAATGTTCCCTCCATAGAAACACATTAATGTCTTAGTATTTTTATATTATTACAAAGCAATAAACAAGAATCAAAACATTTTTTCAGAGTCCCACTACTTTTCAAATGAATTGCATGGTATGTAATAAAGTAATCAAACATTACATTATGTAAATCTGAATCATATTCCACCATCCACATTTGAAATGAGTCCCAAAAGGTTCTAATATACGAGCTACAATAAGAGAATAAATGTTCTACAATTCTTTTCACTATTATAAAATGTTATTACACTACCAATCAACACCAAACAGTGTAGCCTAAATGTGTCTGGGTTTAAATAATTTCAAACTCATGATCTATAAATGTTGAACATTAAAAGTCTAGTATGGCTTTAAAGTCTGTTCAAGTAATAACAGTGAATAATGTGGGAAAAAAAAATCACTTTCATTTATTTGCATTGTCAGAGAAGAGCAGGTTTATTTTCATGTGGGTTTGTCCAGTTACAGGTAAACAACGTCTGTAAAAGCAATTCCACCACAGATTTCTGACCTGTCCCAGTTCAGCAGATGAATAATACAGTAGTTGTTCTACATGTTGGGTGGATCTACACGCACCTTTAACACTTTTCTACTGAGATACAAAACCACCAACACAAATCCAGTGTCTTGTTTTTGGTGAAATACAGAGAACACAACAAATACAAATCGTGTTTAAAGAGCAGGAGCCCAGACCTTCAGTTTCTCTGCGGTATTACAGCGTCATCTACTGGATCTTTTGTGTAACTACAGGGTTTTCATGGCCCACTGCACAGTCGCCTACATAGCCTATGTATTTACAAAAAAAAAATATTATTATTATAATAATTATTATAATATTTATATATTATATGTTTAATATTGTAAAACATTTTTGGAAAAACTCAAAATCTTGACTTTACATCAGAGAAAGAAAATATTAGTGTTTTGTAGAACTGGAATGATCTATTAGCTCATTTGGCAAGTGTCCACTTTTTCACAATAATGAAGACATATGAAGAAATCACTAGTTAAAAGTCTGTGAGATTTAGAAAATTCTAGAATCCATTAAGACAAAGCAATTAAATAAATAAAATAAAATAAAAAAATTGCGTCCCTTTCAGAATCCTAATGGATATTTATTTGTCCTATTGGACAAAGTCAAAATCTTGTTGGTCAATGTCTAATGTCATTGGATGTTTCTTTGTCTGGTGTAAGAATCCTTCTGGATGTGTTTTGTTCTATTGGATATTGTCACATCCAGTTTGTATTCATACTGTGAGATATTTTATAGAGTATGTGAGTAATAAAACCAGATGTTCTGATGATTTGGTAACTTTGCAAACATATTCAGTGTCTTTCTTTGCAGGCATCCCCAGGAAGTTTTTCCTCTTTCTCTTTACTCTCTTCACTCTTTTCCTCTTCTTACTCCTTCTCTCCATCCTCTTCCTCTTTTCTCTCCATTTCTTTGTCCTTATATTAACCCTGCTCCTCTTTGTCCTTTTCATGGTTGTTCTACTGCTCTTTGTCTACCTCCTCTCTCCTCTCTTTCTCCTTTTTGCCGTTTTTCTCCTCTTTGCTCTTCTATCTCCACTTTCTCCCTCCTCATCAGCTTCCACTTATCAGTTTCTTCACCTGATACCTTCTCCATACTTCTGCTCTCCTTTGGTTCCTCCATGAATTGAGCTCTCATCCTCCTCCTCATCTTGGCTGCAAACATCTACTTCTTCAGTCATCTGTACACCAGCTCCTGGAGTCTCCTCTTTACTTTAGCCTCTGTTCATTTTTAACTCAATATGGCTGCTGTGAAAACGCCGTGGGTGGCTCTTGGTCTTTATTTAGACTTTGACACGCCAAAAATGAGATCCACCAACTGTGTGTCGGCCAGTCACAGGGGGGATTTGTTGTTTGAGGGATATTTGTGTTGATGACTGATAGTTGTGGTCACACAGGAGCCACAGGAGGCAGTCAGAGTCACTGTGTGTGTGCTGGACTCAGACTATCTTTACCTTCAGACCAAAACAACTAGACTAACTGGAACTTTGTGTTGGAATTCATCTGATTATGTTTTAGTCATGTAATATAATAACATGTATCATGCAAAAATATACAACGCATCTATAAAATTTGCACATACTTGAGTAAAGTAGAAGTAGATTAAGAGATGTGAGTTTTAAAAGTAGAAATAAATATTAATCTATGTGGATTTTATGGCTATTCAACACGGGCTCCATCGAGGGACAAACGTGGGCTTTTTACACAATCCTCAATCCTCCTTCAGCACAGTCATGCACCACATGTTTCCACCATAAATTATTGACATATATTAGGCTCTGATAAATTTAGCTCAAGTTTCCCACTTCACTCTTTAATTTTGAAAATATCTTTTTTTTTTTCTGATGTATTTTTATGGAAAAATAGCCTAAAAAAATAGGGAGGGGGGCAGATGGATGAGGCCTGTGTGGCAGGAGCAGTTGGAGCAGTCACGGAACAATATATTTTTCTCCAACTCTAATTGAAATAAAGGCACAGTGGCGTCTTACATAATCGTCTTTTACTTGGAACATTTGATACACGTGCTTTCATTTGTGCTAATGGCTGCTCCTGCTGTTCTTACGTAAAGTAATTTCCACTTTTGTGTCACTAATGACTCTCCCCTCTGGATTCACCTGTGCATTAGTCCGCCCCCCGCCTCTGCAGCGCAGCAGCAGTCTGTTCCAGTACATCCTGTGCGCCCGCGTAAGCACACCACCGCTGCCGCCGTGCGTAAAAGCAGCTCCGCGCGTGCATACTCGGACCAACGTGCTTCTCCTAAAGCGCGTGCCACCTGTTACCATACAGTCCATGCACGGTTAGGCACTGCTGCCGCCGTGCGTAAAAGCATCACTGGACACGCGTGGGACACGTAGCGCAGAAAGGACCGTGGCCATGAAAGAGCGCGTGTGGCCACTGGGATTTTCCCATAAAAGTTCCGCGGCTCTCCAAGAGCGAGACATGAACGAGAACTGCTCAGAAGAAGACAGAACCAGCTCTGCGTTTACTTCAAAGCTCTCACCCGGTGCAGACATCTGCGTGGGACTCGCCATTCTCTGCATGGGTCTGTAAACTTTTTTTTTTCTTATTTAAGGTAACAGAGGTGAGCAGAGCAGCCAAACATTGTACCAAAAGAATAGATCAACTGGAGAGTAGCAGTAGGCTCCTAAATGGTCAAAGTAATTTTAAGTAGACTAGTTTTTCATTCCTGAGTAAATGTAACTTCACACCGCTGGTTGTTCTTCGTGAATCATTTTTGAAAATTTGGAAACCGGACAGTTGATAAAAACTCAAAATAGATAATAAGCAAAAAAACAAAAACAAAACAACCAACCAGCTTCCATTTAAAACCCTTTAACACATTTTGCAGAAAAAAAGCCTAATACAATAATAATATATATACTAATATTTTTAATATAATCAGTCCCGCACACCCATCACACCCCATCATGCTAAGTCACTCCCCCTTCGGAGCGCTGTCACAGTACAACTGGCCTGCATTTCACTAATGACTGCACAGGTCTGTGAAGATGTACTGGACTGTTTTGTATCAGGTTTTTGTATGTTTGAAACTGAACGTACATGAGCATGACGCAGGATCGTGGGCTGAGCTTGGGACAGTGAGGAGGTTTGTTGTAGGGCCTGGGAGAAATCTCTAGATTGCTCAAACATGCGTGGACGACGTCCACAACCGTCAGGCATGTTTTTAATGAGGAATTATATTTGTAAGTTTCTAACATGACAAATAGTACATTTTGTATTGTACCTTCTCTTTAAATACATCATTATTCTGACAAAACTTCTGCTCCAACAGACCAGCAGGCAGGCACAGTGCTGCTGTCAAATACATGAAAGAGCCACAAAATCATGTTATACTGTTACGATAATGTTGTGACATTACCCACGCACATGAATTTTCCATAAATCTAAAAACGCAGGATACAAAATAATACAGTACTACTTCACAAACCTGATGTGATGTGCAGTAGTTTGATTAGCAGAAAACATCCTGACTGACTCATAGTGTTCTGACGAGGAAGTGATGCAACATGGGATTCAAAGGGAAGGGACAGGGACTAAACTGAAACTTAAGTTGTAAAGTCGTGATTTCGATGTTATGTGTTAACACTGAACACCGCCTCAGTGACCGTGTCCTGTGCAGTGCTCCTGTCCATGCTGGGGAACGGCCTGGTTCTTCTCATCTGTTACCGACGCCGGAGGATCTTAGTGGGGTCCGAGCTGCTGTGCGTGAACCTGGCCGTGGTGGACTTCTTCTGCTGCGTGTTCTTTTACCCGCTCTCCATCTCTTCATCCTTCACACACATGTGGTTGGGCCAGAAGCTCACCTGTGTCTACTACGGCTTAGGTTGCTACATCTTCGGTCTGTGTGGCATGTTCACCATCACGGCCATCAGTGTGATCCGCTACCTCAAGACGTGCTACAGCCTGCTCTATGGTAAGTTCACGTGTGCTTGGAGTTAGACCGTGCGGCGTGTCTTCCATACACTGGCACCGTCGAGTCTTCACAAACTTCACAAACTATGAAAAAAAGTAACTGTAATCCAATTACCACTCACTGAAACTGTAACTGTAACTCATAATTTGTACTCTGATTACGTAACTCTGGTACATGTAATCTGTTACTCCTCAACACTGCATGTAATAAACATTTCTTGAATCTAATGCTACTCTGGCAGAATGTGCTCTGAAAATACAATGGGCTACAACAGTTTGGCAGTACAGTACTTCTTTTACTTCATCGACTGCTACATATTCTATCTGAAATGAAATATTGTCTAGTATTATTTTTTTCCAGCAAACAGAAACCATTTATCTGGACTGTCTACAGAAAAAAAAAAAAAAAAAATCACGTTTTCTTTTTTTTTTTTTTTTTTGTCTCCTTAAAATATGGGATAGAACCAAATCAGTACAAAGCTGTGTGTGCAACTCATCACTTCTGAGGAGTTTATGATGAAAAAAAAAATATCATGGGGTTATAATCTGTCTGGGGGGCATGATTTGGCCTAGACTTGGAGTATAAACTGAACTAAGGTAAAACATACACTGAACCCAGTGTATGTTTTACCTTAGTTCAGTTTATACTCAGTCCTATAAAAGTCACATGTTGAGCCATATGTTTTTTGTTTTTGTTTTTTTGTTTGTTTGTTTTTTCAGTGACATAATGATTCATCAGTAGTCCTCTTCTCTGTGCAGTTTGGCTGGAGGGGATGAGTGTCCGCTGGGTCTGTGCTGTCATCTGGCTGGTAGCGGTGCTGTGGTCGTGCTTCCCACTGTTCGGGTGGGGCGAGTACGTTCCTGAGCCCTACGGCCTGTCCTGTACGGTGGCCTGGAGGGGCTACCACACCTCAGCTAAGGACGCCTTCTATGTCATCTGCTCGTTCGCCTGCTTCACGCTGGTGCCCGTGCTGCTCATAGTGGTGTCCCAGGCCCTCATCTTGTACAAAGTGTCGCGCTTCTCCTACTCTCTGTCCGTGCGGGGAATCCGGAACAATCTGCGGTACACGGAGAAGCGCCTGACCATGGTGAGACAAGCACACGGACTATGGAAGATAACAAACATGTTTTTAACAACAGCATTTAAATTTAAAAATGTGGTGGAAAAAATAATCTTCTAGAGCTCAACAATCCCGTCTGCATCTAAGGATCTGGAAGTGAGCGTGGTAATTAATTACCGTAAAAGTAATATAATGAATTATAAGAAGAATTCAGTCTACAACATATTTCAGAAACTTCATAAACCACACTGGGTTCTAAACAGTTGGAAAATCTGTCTGTCTCTATTCAGCAGCCTAATCACTCAGATCCTCTGGTGGGTTCCAGCTAAAACGCTGTGCACTATACCCAAGATGAGTTCTCATGAGATTGTGAGCTCAACAGTTTACCAAGAATTCATGTTTTGTGCAAGAGAAATTGTGAATGAGGCTTAAAGAAGACCTATTGTGCTTTTGTCTGCTTGTAAAATAACAATTTTCATCTAATGACTTGATTTCTGTGTTAGAAAACTACGATGTCCAATGATGCCCAGTTCATTTGAACCAAAATGACTTTGCGATGCTGCCAAATCCTATGAGTACCTTTTAAGATAATAAAATTGGACAACAAAGTTAGTACACAACAGTAGGCGTATGCCAGTGGCATTTAAAATGGGGCTTGATGAGCAATATCTTGAAAATAAGTGATTAAAGATTAAAGACACCAAACATAACTTTGAGAAAGAAAATGACAAGGGAAAACAACATTCCTGACATACAGTAGAAAAGCTTAATGTTTGTTCTCTTGTGCTCAGATGTTCTTCTGCATCAGCCTGGGCTTCATTATCGCCTGGGCGCCCTACGCTGTGGTCTCCTTCCTCTTCATTTTCCACAAAGGCAGTGGCTACATGGCTCCAGAGGGCTTCGTGTTGCCCGCTCTCTTTGCTAAAAGCTCGCACATCTACAATCCCTTCATCTACTTCTACTTCAATAAGACTTTCCAGCGTGAGCTTCGTCATCTGCTGGGTTCCGCATGTCCATCGCTGGGGGGAAACCGTGTGGGGGTGCACCTGGGCTCCAATCCCCCAGGAGCCCACCCCATCCATATCCAGATGATGGAGCAGCCCAAAGTGGTCAATAATCAGGACAGTTCTCAGCCCAAGTGTAAGGGACAGTCAGAGGAGAATAGACCTGTGTATGTGTGCTGGGGATCTCTGCACTCAGACAAGACTCCAGCGGCCCGACAAGACCTGGCCAAGAGCCTGAAGCAGGACTCCATATGAACAACCAACTCCCAGAGAGGGGCCTTAAGGCCTGCACAAGTCCCACCCTACCGTCCCAGGTCCCACTCTGTTGTCCCAGGTCCCACCGTGCCGTCCCAGGGAACAGCAGAAACCTCCACTCAGACATTGTTTCTGTAAACATCATGTACTCAGAGGGGGATGCTCAGGTACGTTCATTGCATTTGCAAATGCACTGAGTTCAGTTGAAAATGAAATGATGAAGAAAAGAACAGTGTAAAGATCCTTGGAAACTGGTAAGCAAGGGGAAAAAAATCTATATCATAAGAGAGAAAAGTTGTCTTTTGTTTTTAAGGTGAAAGGGAATAAGTCTATATTTATGTGTTTTCCATTGCACTTAACACAAGTCTTTCAAAGACACAGGAATGGGATACATAGTGATTGTTGCAGTTACAGTCAGGTGCTGTATCACAAACTCATTGGACTCATTTGCTGTTTTAACAGATTATTTTAAGTACAAATTATTTTCATTTGCTTTATATAGTTTTTGTTCTAAATTGCTTACAGGTGTAGGGATGCACCTAGACTCCAGCCGCCTGGGACCCCCACTCCATCCACACCCATGGAGCAGCCCAAAGTGGTCAATAATCAGGACAGTTCTCAGCCCAAGTGTAAGAGACAGTCAGAGGAGAATAGACCTGTGTATGTGTGCTGGGGATCTGTGCACTCAGACAAGACTCCAACGGCCCGACAAGACCTGGACAAGAGTTTGAAGCAGGACTCCATATGAACAACCAACTCTGCCGTGCCGTCCCAGGTCCCGCCCTGCCGTCCCAGGTCCCACCGTGCTGCTGATACATTTGTGCTTTTATCCATGCAGTTTCCCCATCATACTTAAAGCTGTGTTTTTCTTGTTTTTTGTTAAAATGTTTTTTCATTCACAAATATAGACTGTTCATAGAAGTGATTTAAGTGAAAGTGACATTACCCATAGTGTTCGGCTCCAGCCAAATGAAGCTCACCGAGACAGCAGTTAGCTAATTTAGAGCAGAGTTCCATGTTTGTAGTTCTGAACATCAGTATCAGAGCAACTAAAGGGGCAACCAGGAGCTCACCCTTTCCCTCACACTCTGCTGGTTTGGCAGGAGGCAGGAATTTTATAACGAGCCATGACAGCTGTCAATCAAAACTGTTGCTAACACTAGCGGGAGCTGCCTTGGGGAAAGAAGGCACCTGATTGGTCTGTTAATATTCATATTAGTGCTGTCAAGACATAAAAAAATTGAGAAATTAATTAATCTAATTAATCTCTTTTTTAAACTCACCTAAAATTTCTGAGAAAAGCTTCAATTTGAGATATTTTCATTTAAATTCATTATTACATTATTGTGGCAGATCAAAAGACTGATATAGAGCAAAAAAAAAATTGACTTTATAAAGTCATTTATTGTTTAACAAACTTTAACAGATGCACTCATTTACATTCCTCTGTGTTCTTTTGTCAAACTCTAAATAATTAGAAAATACAAATAAAATAAAACATCAGGTTAGAGGCCTGCACCCATGGGACCCGACGCAGAACAGTGCGGCGCAGGATATTTTATTTTGGCATTAATTAAAACTTTTTATGCAGCCTAAATTTGTGGATGTGGTCTAACCTTGCACACATTTCAGACAATTCCTTTCCGCTTCTCCATGTTTGATAGAGTTTAAGAAAGAGAACGTCCTGTTAGTGATGGGCATTTGATGACATTTTATTAATTGATCATCGGGAGAATTAACAATTGATTTTCAATTAATCATTAACATTTTTATACAAGTATCATCATTATTATTACTGTTACTAATCTGCATAAATAAACTCAACTTTACAACATATAAACCGTAAACACTCTAGAGCCACATCAGCCCGTTTGACATTAGAATGTGTTTAATTCAGCTTTGTACAAGTCTCACAGAAACCAAACTTAAAACTGTATGGCCAATTTGCATAAACTAAGCACAGAAAAAAAACAAAAAAACACTCTTGTGCGCTGATGCAGTTCAGCTTCTGTCAGACTAAAGAACACGAGTGGAATATGAGTGTTCTCTCTGGGGACAGAGGGATGTTGATGCTGAAGGTGAGTCTGTTCTGTGTGTGTCCTGATGTTTTCAGAGATCAGACTTGTGCAGGTTTATCACAGATGCAGGAACGGGAATGAAAATTACAATTCTTTGCGGGAGCGAGGAGAGCAGGACTGCGCAGTGCGGGAGCGGAACTGTGTCTAAACAACACTTAAAAACAGATTTTATAATAAGTCAACTCACATACAGAAACAGTAAAGTTAGAGATTAAAAATAAGATTAAAGCGATTAAAAAACATAACGCGCTAAATATGACTGTAATTAATTAATCGCAATTAACGCGATAATTTGACACCCCTAATTTATATCTTGATTTATGGACAAAATAGTGAAATCAAAATAGCAGGATGAAGATGATTGGAAAGGTCATAAATAAACAACAGTTCTTTGTGTTGCAAATTTATTTTGATGCAATTTAAAATAGTTCACCGTGTTAATTATACCAACCACAGACTCTCCAAAATGGATTCTGATGTGAAAATTGAATGTAACAGATGCAAAATGTCTCCCGCAAACATGACACGTTTGGTCACGTCCTCAACTAATACATTTCTGGGCGGCCATTTGGAAACACCTTTGGAAATTGCCTTGACTCCTTCTGTGGATCTAGTTACATTTGGAATAGTGTCCAACCACTATAATAGACACAACATGTCTCCTTACTGACTCCTCTTGTAGCCAGAAGACAAATCCTATTAGAATGGAAGTCACCAACTGCTCCAAAAGCCTCACAATGGCTACGTGACCTCATGTCGTTTCTTGACCTTGAAAAAAATGAAATATGACTTGTGAGGTTAACCCTTTAAATTTTACACTGTGGGGCTCTAGAATCAAATATACAAAAACTTAAGTCGATATAACTTATAGCCTTCTCAAGAAGGTGTCAGGGCACATTTCCATTTAGGCATTTGTGCCTTCTAGTCTAGGGTGCTTCCACTGGTACAAATGAGGAAAAAAAGTACAACGCAGATTGTTACTTATTTATAACCTGTAAAAGCAGAGACCATGCCTCTTAAACCGGTGTGCCATATGTTTTGACCATGTGATGTGTTCTACATTTATATCAGGATGTTTGTGCTTATACGTCTTGTTTCTACCCGACTGTTCACAGCATCAATATGTATAAATGTGTAAAAAAAAAGGGTGGGGTGTAAACTGCTCTTTTTCTGTATATTGCTTGGTCTAAATAACTTAATAAATGTATTAAAAAAATACCAGGGTCATGTAGAGTGGAGTAAGACTAACATTTTAAGACCAACATTTTGAGCCTGACAGCAGCAGTTACTGAGAGTGAATTCTTGCAAAATTCCTTTCTACGTCACATGACCACACTGTAAAAAATACTGTATAAGATAGTCCAATAGTCCACACACACTGTCCAGTGTAGCAGCTTGGTTTGAAATGCATGTGTTTAGTTCCACTTTAAACAAAGTGTATGGGTGACAGCTGATTGAGTGAAATAAAGCAGACTGTGAAGACTGGACAACCCGTTTGCAAGTGAAAGTTACAGTTGGGTATAAACATTTAAAAAGCCTGCAGTGTCTTTTTTATTGCTCAGTTTAGTCTCAGCTTTGTTTTCAGTTATGATGCTGCTGCTGATAATAATGTAATAACAATAAAAATATTCAGTGGTGAAAAGAAAAAGTAGAGCTAACAAATTTGTATGTATGAAAAACAGTACCAAGTGCTAGGTACTAGTTAAGATAAGATAATTCTTTATTGTCTCCCATGGGAGAAATTTGTCTTACGACAGGGCGTCACATGCTTTATCAAAAAACAGGACAACACAACACAAAGCACCACATAAACAAACACCACAGAACAGAGTAAATATGAGACCAAGTGTGACCACGAGTGATGCACCAACAAGACCTTTAAACTATTCTTAACAGACAGGCCCTTTGCATTCTTGTATTCTATTAATAATTGCACATTCCCTAAGCCTATGTGCAGTAGTTACTTTAATTGAATTGATTTATTTGTACTTTTTCAGTAACATTAATAATCAACATAACTGTAATTGGCATCAGATCAGATCAAGCAGATGTTTGATGGTATAAAGGAGCATGGACAGAGGTGAGGCATTCTTGACCATTGGAAATTGAGCAGTACTCAGTAACACATGACTTTAAATTACAATTACATAGTTCTTACTTAATTGTATGTACAAATCTGAGAATCTACTTTAGTGAACAGTATGTGTCCTGTGCCCTTACTCTTTTTAAAACTTACTACAAACACCACTGAATGTGAGTTTCCTGTGTTTAAACTTGCAGATTGATGACATACACGGTTTTCTCATTCTCAGGCCAGGCCTCATGTGAACACTCAGATCCTCCAGAATTCCCTCCCTGAGTTGCAGAGGCTGCACTAGCACTGACTCATGATTGGCTTTAGGTAATGACCATCCAGATCAGAGAGAGGCATTTTAGGTTTAAACCAGCTCGATTTCAGCACTGAAACTGACTACACAAATGAGAGACTTGTTTGAAACTTTTTCTCCTTTCTGATTGGATCATTGTCAACACCAAACTATAAGAAAAACAAATGGGACATCATGTCTAATATATTTGTAATTAAAAATAAGTTATACTTTATTATTCTTTAGTTTATTTATGAGACAGGGACAGTGCACAATATACAAAAACCTTCACAGGAGAGACACACTGAGCCAAGTTGTAGCATTAGAGCTCATTTCCACCTGTAGTCCCTGGACTATGTTTGTTAAGTCTTTGTAACTGCAGTAAGATCTTTATTTGATACAAACATATTTACCTTGTATCTGAGGACACTGTTAGGTCAACCTGACTATGACATTTGAAATCAAAATCTTACATACAGTTCCTTAAAAAAAAAAAAAAAAAAAAAAAAAAATCAACTACCTGAAAAATATGGGTCTTTCTCTGCCTACCTCTCTG